AAAAAAAAAGAAGAAGAAGAAGAAGAAAAGAGAGAGAAACATGAATGAAGAATAAGCATTGCAAACCATTAAACCAACAATGATCAATTTCTAGGGAAGAAAACACAATTTTCTTCCCAAAATTATTCCTTATTTTTTTTTAATGCTTGCAAATTCTTCGGAGTAATAGGGATATGACATTTAGATACCACCACACCTTAGCAACTTTGGCTCCACAAGCTGCAGCAAGAATCGAGGCCCCGGTTGAGATATTCACAGTATTTGCTCCATCACCGCCAGTCCCAACAATGTCCACAGCATCAACAAGTCCCTCCACTTTCTTGCAGTGTTTTACCATACCTCTTGCTAGCCCAACTACCTATTAAATACTTTGTGGGTCAGTATTTACATAATTACATCATTGTGTGTTCTACTTCAGATTAAAATGAGACACTTTTCACTGTCATAATGACTTAAGTTTTTTAACCTTACCTCATACATTCATTGCTGCATACTCTTTAAACTTAAAAACTATAGTGCAAGTGCCAAGTGCCAACTGTACCAATTTAATTACATCTGGGCAAATTGGGTGAGATAAGACAAAAAAACATCCGTATGTACTATCTCTCGTAATATGTTCTGTGTGTTCATCATCAAATTATGAAGACATTATTATATCTTCAATGATCTGAAAGACTTTCCCTTTTGAGTCAACATAGTGTTCCATCAGCCAAAGTAGACATCTCTTCATGCAAAAGATCCCATCTCAAACAAAAGATGAACCTTTTACGAATATGATTTAACGGTTTTGCTATAGAGCCATCGGATGGCTGGACTTATGTGAAAACAGGGACAAAAAAAACACTTACTTCTTCATAGGTTTCTCCTTTAGCTCTCAAAAGCACCAAAAACGCGCTAATCAAAGCCTCATCAGCACCGTCCAACAAGAAATCAAGAGAGGCCTCAGCTTCATCTTCAGACAAATCCACCCCGCTTATTAACGACTCTATCAACTAAATCCCACCACAAAAATAATTGAAAAACTAACAAAAAAAAAAAAAATCAAACAA